TCTCGATTAACACCAATTAATCATCTCACTAATACATAGACTAAGATTGGCCCCTAGCAAGGCATCATGGCCACCCAATAGATTCGGATTCAGCAAAGTAGCTACCTATCAACGATATGGTTACTGTACAATTCGAACCTTCCATTATATGTTATCTCGACAAGACGAAGGCATGGAAATAGTGTCAACCTTCAGTTACTCTCGATATTATGTATTCAGTTTCTAGACCAATGACCTGTATTATAATCTGGATAGAGCAACAACTCAATCCCACTGTGGCCACAGTTTTAGTGTCATTGCCATATACTAAATTGCACCATAAGATAACTTCTCCCGTACCCGGGAGTGATGAATTCTCTGTCTATCCACCATAGTCTTAATACACTCCTTGATGCAGTCAATCACCACTGTATTGACAGCTCTGAATAGAACTGCGTTAGGCTAATGTCAAACTGCACCAATCGGTGCACAAGGCGTTCTGGTGATCTCAAGTCTAAGGATCACATGCACTACCATTTGTTAGAGGATTTTTTCCATAGACACTGGGGTTACCATCCATATGGAATCCTCTGGTGGGTCAGTCTAGTGTATTTACTACGGTATATCCGCCTACAGCAAGCACTCATGTGTTGCACCAGGTTGTCACCAAACAACCTTGACAAGTGAGATCAGTCACTGCCTTTCGACATGGTCGTTCAACACTATGATAGCCTTACCGTATTATCTGTACCCTTACTTCAGAATAATACTGGGACTATGGACGTTTCTAGAATGGCCACCATATGTGCTCATAGGGTTCTCACTATCAAGATTTGAAACACTTGATATCCTTATCACGGTTCTACCATTCTAAGGACATATATCAATACATATTGCAATAATAATGATTTACGCGATATAGAATAAAATGCCTTTTATTGATTAATGAACATTATTACAAAGAGTCAATTCTACAATAATTGATTGGCTCTAGGGCATCTACTCTAAACATCAGGTGTATGCTTCTTGTGGTGGGAGAATACCAAGAAAGAGAGGCAAGGGAAGGGAAATTTAAGGTTAGCTTATGGGAGAGATTGAAAAGGGTGTTAAAGAAAGGTTCTTGCCTGAAAATCAAAAGCAGACCTTTATCTAAATTCTAAACTTGAAACAAGGTGATAGAAAAGTTGAAGAGTATATTCAGGAGTTCGAAGGATTGATGAAGGAGTGATATTCCCAAAGAGAAGGAGCACACCATTGCTAGATTTTATGGCAGTTTGAGTAGGATATTGCTACAAGATTGAATTGCAAAACATTCCTTTGAGGATTTTGCAAGTTATCTACTGTAACACCTACTGAAAACTAGTACAATGCATGCAATTAACAATGGAAAATTGGGCCCAAAATGTTTCTTTTCATTACAATTCACATGTCTTTTATACACAAGGTTACTGTTTACAAAAGTGCATTTTAAAAGACAAAATAGGGGAACAGTGTAGCTATTGCTCTCGCGCGCCCGACGCCCCTCCAACCGCATCAACACCTAGAACCTGCATCCACGAGGAAAATAACGGGGTGAGCACAAATAATGCTCAGTAAGTAAAACTCTCTAACTGTCTGTCCCCGTGTGTGACTCTTAATTCTTTCCTTTTCTAATTCTGTTTCTATTTCTATTCTAATAACATCATGGCCTCATCTTACCGGAGGTACGGCCGGATGGCGTTCACACAGCACCATCTCACTCTCTATGGCTATCGGGTGGAATTCACACAGTACCAACCTTTCTTAGTGACTACCGAGGAGGATCACAAAGCACCAACTGGTTCCTCCTAACTATCGGGTGGAGATCACCTAGCACCTACTCGTTCTCATGAATTTTGGGTAATGATCACCAAGCATTTACCCGTCTCTAGTCACTATCGGGTGATGATCACAAGCATCAACCCGCTTCTACTAGCCGTGGATGATGATCACAAAGCAACAACTACATTCTCTTAACTAATCGGGTAGTGGTCACAAAGCATCTACCCATTCCTATTACTCATTGGGTGACGATCACTAAGCATCGACCCATCTCTCCAAGGCTATTCGGATGATGATCACAAAGCATCAATCCGTATCCCATAACGGTGGGTGATGATCACAAAGCATCATCCCAACTATACTCTCTTCTAACTCATTTACTGTAGCATTTCAATGCTCTCTACCCTTAGAGTAATTTTACCCACTAAGCTCTCTACTCATAGGGGATTCTATACACAAAGTTCCCTACTCTTTTCTAGGTCACTTGTCAATGCATATAACAATGCACATGGATGATTCATCTCTACTAAGCACTTGTGAAATGCAACATGCAATGTTGCAAAAATTAAGGTTCATTACTCACACTCAATTCTCTATTAGGCATTTCATCAAACAACTCATGTGCACTATAAAACTCTATCATAGCCATGAATCTAAAACTTTTCCTAACCATCCAAAATGGGAAAAACCCCCACAAAGTCATAATAACCTGTCAAACAACACACTTCCAAAAAGGGTTCCATAACACCCCTTCAATTCCATCTCAACTACCTTGCCAATCCAACAACCCATTTCTCATATTGCAAGGTATTAACATTCACAAAGCATAGAAATCTCCATTTAACACTATACATGGCTATTACATGCACATCATACATACATCATTTCTATCAAAAAACCTAATCAGAAATTTCATGAATCTCAACTTGGGGGTGGTTTACTTACTTGCTATGGAGAGACTTCACCAAATCTTCTTTCCACTTGGTTTTCTGACTATTCACTCTACTCTTAACCAAAAGAATGAAAACCCTCAAAAACCAAAATGAACTAAAATCTACAAATCACACAACTTAAGGAGAAATCCTACCTTAGGAAGCCTTAGGTTGTTTTTTATCCCAAATCACTTCAAAATCCCTTGGAAAACTTGATCAAAAGAAAAGAGAAGTTGAGAGGAGTAGAATAAAGAGTTGCATTTGAGAAGAAGAGAAATGAGGGGTTTCTTTGATTCTAATCTTTTTAAAGAAATTAAACACATTCATTCCCATTTTGCCTTATTCTTCTATGGAAATTCCATCCATATCCTTTGATTCATTACAAACTCACCCCCATATCAACATATTCTCCATGAAAAATCCTTACAATTCACTCCCCACTTTTCCTGCTAATTAGGGGTAGAATGGTCAAATAGCCCTTGGGGAAGAAAATGTCTAAAACTCACTCAACATTTTAATCGGCCTGTCGCCGCGGCGAAGAAACCTTTGTCGCCGCGGCGAAACTGTCCAGAGAGTTTCACCCTTGGTTTCAACCCGTCTTCGCCGCGGCGAAGATTCTTCTTCGCCCCGGCGAAGCTTGGTACACTCAAATTCTTCTATTTTCAACCAAAATTCAGGGCAACATTCAACATAACATTCAATCAAACAAAATCAACAAAACCAACTCAACTAAGAGTGAAAGAGGAAACAATAACAACGTACCTCAAGTGGGGCGTTACATCTACAAAGGTGGAGAAGCAATTGAAGAGTATGAAGTCATTGGTCCTCAAGAAGCTCTTTAAGGAGAACACTTACCAAAAGGGTTCACCTTCCCATACCAAACTGTATGTGACACCTACGGCCTATGACAAGAACAAGGCAAATTGATATGACTTTGCCTTCAAAGACCAACAAAGTTCGCCATGGGAACCAAGTGAAGGCCATTGAAGAAGTTATTCAAGGACGTGGGAACAATTCGGCCCAAGAGAAATTCCTCATGCAAGACACAAGCAAGAATTCAGCCCAAAGGGAGTTAATCATGCAAGACACAAGCAAAGGGGCAGCCCAAGGAGATAAATTGGTTCATGATGAGCCCAAATGGCCTAAAATGGAATCTAACTATTATTTGGGTTCAAGTCTTTTAATTGGTTATAGTTTGATTACTTGGGAATTTCCCACCAAAAGTAAGTCAAATATTCAATCATCACATGGGAGAATCAAGGTTATCATTTAGGATCATTAAATGCAAGAGATAAGGAGACAAAGTGGCTGCTACAAACATTACCCAAAATGGCAAAAGACAAGGTTGTAAGAGTCGGGTGTCTCCTTGTCCCCTACCTTTGATGGAAAGTTCTAGGATCTTGTGTTTTATTTATCCCATGCATGTTTTATTCATATTTTTGTTTTCTCCTATGTTAGAAGCTATGTATCACCTTTTAATATTGGTTGAATTTTCTTTTGTGTGGCCTAGATCTCACTTGGAGTTTGTGCATGCCACTTGTACACCCAAGATTGAACTTTGTTGGGTAGCTTTTGTAACCTTTTGCAAGGCCTATGTAAAAACCAACTTCTTATTGTAATGTTCAGACTTGATGAATGAAAATTGTCTCTTGAGAGAGCTTTGTTACTCCTTTATCCAATCTTTGCTATAGGTTGGTGGTGGATCTCCTTGGTTGGTGGTTTTCAATTAGGCCTTGGATTTTTTTGGCTTTTGTTTAGTGTTATCTTGTATGTTCTTGTGAGTGTGTTGTTTCTTATTTGTGTCGGCTAAAATTCCTTCTTGGTGGTTGTTATTGTGTTGCCGATCTAGTCATATAAAAAGGAGTTGCTACCTGCTTAAGTATTTTGATAATTTTGAAGTTGTTGGAAGTGTTCAAACTCACTCTAAGCTACAGTAAACGGATCACAAATGAAGCACAAAAGGACAAACCAAGCTTTGTGAAGAATGATGCTCCACGATCATATTTGAAAAACAAGAAATGCTTCAAGTACCAAGGTTATGGACACTTCTAAGCAAGCTATCCAAACCAAAGTGTTATGACACATAGAGAGATTAATGAGATTGATCATGCATGCCAAAGGGAGTCTAGTGAGGAAGAGAAAGAGAGTGAGAATGAGGTTATTGAGAAAGCCGGCAATGGAGAGATGCTTATGCTTAAAAGATTGTTGCATACTTAAGTAAACCCCAAAGAGAACCACTGGGAGAACTTGTTTCACACAAGGTGCACTATCAAGGGGAAAGTTTGCTCAATGATAATAGATAGTGAGAGTTGCACTAATGTTGCTTCCACCACACTTGTGGAGAAATCGGGGTTGCCGACTATTAACCATGCTTATCCTTACAGGTTGCAACGGTTAAGCAATGGTGACACCATTCAAGTGGTCAAGCAAGTTGTTGTGCCATTCTCCATTGGCAAGAGATACACGGATGAAGTTACTTGTGACATCATTCACATGGATGGTTGCAATCTTTTACTTGGAAGACCATGGCAATATGACCAAGAGGTGATCCATGATTGCCGCAAGAACACCTACTCCTTCAAGCTCAACAAGAAGACCATTACACTTGCACCCTTAGCCCCCACCCAAACCATTATCCAAGCACCAGCACAAACCACCTCTCAAACACTTCCCCAAGCATCCTCAAAAGAACTAACACACAAAACCAACGTCCTAAATAGCATCCAACTAGAAAAAGCCTTCTTAAAACACAAACCTCTCCTTACCTTCCTCATAGCTAAGAAGAGCCAAGAGATGAAGTACCCTAATTTTCACATGAGAGTTCAACCTCTCTTGGATGAGTTTGCGAATGTTTTTCCTCAAGAGTTGCCTAGGGTTTTGCCACCACTTAGAGGGATAGAGCATCACATTGATTTGAACCCCAACACTCTTATTCCCAATCAGCCATCATATAGGTGCAATCCCAAAGAGTCAAAAGAGCTATAAAGGCAAGTTGAAAAGTTGATTTCTATGGGATTTGTGAGAGAGATCATGCTTCCTTGCTCGGTTCCAGCCTTGCTTGTGCCCAAGCAGGATGACACTTACCAAATATGCATTGATAGCTAAGCCATCAATCAGATAACTATCAAGTATAGGTGTCCCATACCTTGATTGGATGATGTGCTAGATAAGCTTCACGATGCAACCATCTTCTACAAGAAATATCTAAGGAGTGGTTACCACCAGACTCAGATGAGGGAAGGAGATGAGTGGAAGATGGCTTTCAAGACAAAATGGGGATTGTATGAATTGATGGTGATGCCTTTTTGTAACGGACCGCCTGGCTTTGACACCCTAACTGGCCCGGCCACGGAGTTTACACAGCTCCCTACATGGCATGTACTCCCCCCCCCCCCCCCCCTAAGGTTTCTTCGCCTTCCCCATGGCTCGAACCCAAGCCTAAGGGGCTATAGGCAAATGGGAAGCACCATGAGTACCATTGGGCTAGCTAAAAATGTAATAACTACTGTATACTAATATACATATACAATAATAAAAGTAAATGGGCCCAAAAATTTTCTTGTATTATGTATATACATTCTTTGTACAAAAGAGTATCATTTACAAAATGCCATTCAAAACAGGGGACAGTGTGGCTATTGCTCCTCGCTTGCCGACACCCAACTAACTCAACACACCTATCCTACAACCACAAAGGAAAATAACGGGGTGAGCACAAAATAATGCTCAGTATAAGTCCTCTATTGTCTATCCCCGTAACTATTTCTCTTAATTATTTCTCTACACTATTTCTGTTTCTGTTTCTCTTTCACACAGCTTCTTTTTATTAACCTCTACTATATGTCATGGCCTCATCTTGCCGGAGGCACACCAAGTGAGTTCACACAGCACCAACCCACTCTTCGTGACTTTTGGGTGGAGATCACAAAGCTCAACCCATTTCTCATAACTATCGGGTGGAGATCACAAAGCGTCAACCTGTTTTCCCATAACTATCGGGTGGAGACCACAAAGCGTCAACCCATTTCTCATACCTATCGGCGAGATCACAAAGCGTCACCTATTTTAGTGCTCTTCTAATTCACTATCCTCTAGCACTAGCACTTCTCATTCTCTCCACTCTTAGAGTAGTTCATTCACAAAGTTTTCTACTCTTTCTTAAGTCACCCTCAATGCACAATTAATGCATATGGATGGTTCATTTCCCCTAATGCACTTATGAGATGCCACATGCAATTTGCAAGAATTTAGGCTTACTACTCATACTTAAACCTCTCTTAGGCATTCATCAAACACTCAGTGCATATAAAGACTTTACTATAGCAATAGCTCTATTCCTTTCTCTAACCATCCCAAATGGGAGAATACTCCTTCACATAGCTATAAATCCTGTCAAGGAATAACACTTCTAAAAAGGTTACTCAAAACCTTCCAAACCTCATCTCAACTACACTTCTCATCACATATCAACACTTCTCTTAAATGAAGTGTATTCATCACAACATAGATATATCTCAATTTCATAGCATATAACATCATACATAATTGCTATTAAATCTTTACTCAAGAAAGTTCTCAAATCTCAACTTGGGTGGGGATTACTTACCTGTAATGGAGAACTCTCACTAGTATTTTTTTTTTTTTCCTTTGCTTGTTTGACTTTTCCTACCCTTTAACAATAACCATACAACTTTAATATACAATATACACAAAACCTCACACCAAAGTAGAATCCTTCCTTAGATGCCTTAGCTTGATTTTCTACTCCAGTCATTCCAAAAAGCCCTAAAAATCCTTGAACTAATGAAAGAGGACTTGAGAGGAAGTAGGAAAGGAAATAGTGGGGAAGAAGAATGAAAGGTTTGCAATGCTTAAATCCTTTTAACTCAACTTATGGGCAACATTCCCATATTGCCCTTACTCTTCCTTGGGAATTCCATCTATATACTTTAATTCTCACAATCACACCCCCATACAAACATATTTTCCATGAAATTTTCTTACATTTTATCCCCACTTTTCCACTAATTAGGGTAGAATGGTCAAATTTCCCTTAGGGAAGAAAAATCTAAACTTTCATAAATTTTTCAGTCGACCCGTCACTGCGGCGAAACAATTCCGTCGCCGCGGCAAAAACTCCAACAGCTCACCGCGAGCTGAAACACCTCTTCGCGAAGCCTGTAACCCTAAAATTTCGCCAATGTTTCATAATTTCCAAGGCAAACACTTAACCAATCAATATCTCCATTCAACAAAGGGCCAACCAAAAAATACTAATAGTAAACCACTCAAATAGAGCAAAATAAGAACATTAGCTACATACCTCAAGTGGGCGTTACAATCTCCCCCTCGCCCCCTCTCCCCCCCGCGCCCCCGCCCCCCCAAAAAAAAAAAAAAGAATTTCGTCCCCGAAATTCATACAAACAACTCTGGGAAGCGATTCTGCATGTCTTTTTCTACCTACCAAGTTGCCTCTTCGACCTTGTGATTTCTCCAAAGGACCTTCACTAACGGAATACTCTTATTCCGAAGCTCTTTAATTCGTTGGTCTAAAATCTGAATTGGGCGTTCCTCATACACAAGGTTCTCTGCTAATTCAACAGCCTCTACACTCAGAATATGGGAGGGGTCACTTACATACTTCTGCAGCATTGAGATATGGAAAACATCATGCACCTTGTCCATACTAGGTGGTAGTGCCAATCTGTAAGCTACCTTTCCCACTCATTGTAAAATCTCAAATGGACCTATGTATCTCGGTGCTAACTTCCCTTTATTCCCGAAGCACATTACTCGCTTGTAGGGGGAAACTTTCAGAAACACTTTATCACCCACTTGGAACTCAATTTCTTTCCTCTTCAAATTGTCATAACTTTTCTATCTATCTTGGGCTTGCTTTATTCTGTTTCTGATTAGCTTGACATCCTCTATCATTTTCTGAGTCACCTCTGGCCCAATAGCTGTATTCAACTCATCCTTTTACCGATCTCATCCCAATGTAGTAGAGATCTACATCGTCTACCATATAAAGCCTCGTAAGGCGCCATTTTAATTGTAGACTGATAACTGTTGTTGTAGGCAAACTCCACTAAGGGTAACATCTCATGCTAGGATACTTTATAATCCATACAGCAAGCTCTCAACATATCTTCAAGCACTTGGTTTGTTCTCTTTGTTCGGCCATCCGTCTGAGGATGATAGGCAGTACTGAATGCTAAACAGGTACCTAAATTCCTCTATAAACTCATCTAGAAAGCTGAAACAAACCTGGAATCTCTATCTGACACTATTGTTTTGGGCACACATGCAATCTGACTATCTCCTTATTATAAATCTGAGCCAGTTGATCCGTGGTAGTGCTTTCCTTTACTGGAAGAAAATGGGCTGATTTAGATAGTCTATCCACAATCACCCATATAGCATTATATCCTTTCTGTACTCTAGGGAGACCTGTGATAAAATTCATCGAAATGCTCTCCCATTTCCATTCTGGAATACTAAGTGGCTGAAGCAACCCTGATGGCCTTTGATGTTCTGCTTTCACCTGTTGGCAAACGAGGCACTTAGCTACAAATTCTGCAATATCGTTCTTCAAACCTGGCCACCAGTAACCTTTCTTTAAATCTTAATACATCTTGGTTGCTCCAGGATAAGCAGTGTATGGTGTGTCATGAGCCTCTGTAAGAATTTTCTTCCTCAACTCATCAATCGGAGGAATGCACAACCTATCTCTGAAATAGAGCACACCATATTTTAAATAGAACTCTGATGTCTTGCCCTCGTACACTTGCTGAACTATTCTCTGACACCACTCATCAGCCACTTGCTTTTCTTTAACTTCTTCCAGTAAGGTAGACTGAATTTCTAACTTGGCCATCCGTCCCGGGATTACTTCAATCTGCTCTCTGCACAACTCAGCTAATAACTCTTTCTGTCTAGTGAGCCGGGACAAATAAGCTTTTCTACTCAAGGCATCGACTACTACATTGGCTTTCCCCGGTTGATACTTGATCTCATATTCATAATCCTTAACCAGCTCTAACCACATTCTCTGTCTCATATTCAACTCCTTCTGAGTGAAGAAATACTTTAAACTCTTATGATCAATGTAGATATTACTCTTTACACCATAAAGGTAATGCCTCCAAATCTTTAAGGCAAAGACCACGGCTGCCAACTCTAGGTCATGCGTAGGGTATCTTGTCTCGTACTCTTTCAGTTGATGAGAGGCATAAGCTATAACCCTACCTAACTGCATCAATACGGCGCCAAGTCTCTGCAAAGAGGCATCTGTATAAATATCATAATCTACACCCTCTTGTGGTAACAATAACACAGGAGCTATTGTTAATCTCTTCTTCAACTCTTGGAAACTCTCCTCACATGCTTCTGACCATGTAAAAGGAGTTCTCTGCTTAGTAAAAGCTATCAACAGTTTAGCCAATTGGGCGAACCCTACTACAAATTGCCGGTAGTAACCTGCTAGGCCCAAGAAACTTCTAATCTCTTTTACTGTCTTCGGCCTCTGCCATTCAAGGATTGCCTTTACTTTACTCGGATCCAATGAAATCTCTTCCTTAGACACGGTATGGCCCAGAAACAATACTTGATCAAGCCAAAATTCACATTTGGAAAACTTAGCATACAACTTCCTTTCCCTTAATCGTTGCAACACTAATCTCAAGTGTTCCTCATGCTCTTCTCTCGACTTAGAGTAAACCAGGATATCATCTATGAAAACCACTATGAATTGATCCAAACAATCATGGATTACCCAGTTCATCAAGTCCATAAAAATTGCTAGGGCATTAGTCAAGCCAAAAGGCATCACTACAAATTTATAATGCCCATACCTTGTACGGAAAGCTGTCTTTGCTACATCTTGCTCGGCCACCCTTACTTGATGGTACCTTGACCTTAAATCAATTTTGGAGAACACTGCTGCTCTTTTTAACTGATCAAACAGATCATCAATACGAGGTAAC